CATGCCCCGCACACGCCAACATGCCCCGCACACGCCAACATGCCCCGCACACGCCAACATGCCCCGCACACGCCAACATGCCCCGCACACGCCAAGGCTGTAAACACAAAGCGGTGATAATGAGATGGAATTGTGAGTCATCTTGATTCAGTCTCTACAGTTTTTATACAAAAAGTGCACACACTATTCCCGCATACATAAGTAACATCATGCTGTCTAAAATTGTTCATTGCTTAAAGACATGGAAAAATATTCCCCACCATGGCCTGTACATACTATATACCGAAGTAGGAGACCATGATCTTGAAATTAAGATCCGTAGGGTGAGATGAATAGCAATTCGCCACCATGCTTTCTAAGACTAGAAATGCTATGTCTGGCTGCTTTGTTCTGATCTTCATCTCCCCCTCTACGCATAAAACACCAGCTGGACTTACAGGCTGCAGCACACTGCTAGGAGAAGGCAGAGTCCCACATCTGTCCTGCAAAGTCCACGTCCCCAAAGTCTCTGCTGCCTCCCCTCCACCCTCCCCCAGCCGACCCCTTAGGAAATCCGTCCACATCTGCGCGCATCTGCTACCATAGACAGGAGGCTGGGCTTTTTGCTCTGAGGACCTCCAGCGGCCATTTGCAGTTTATGGGATTGTAAATTTCAGGCCCCTGGTTTTCACCACTCAGGGTTGGCAGCCAAAGGGACCCTGCGTCCACCACGGGGTGACCATCACTTCACCGGCAGAGCTACCATGGTGGACAAGAAATGGTGGCATAAAATGGGGTTTTGTTTGTTTACTGAAGAGTTTCTCCAAAAACAGTTATATTGAGTACTAGTAGGTCAGGGAAATTGAAGGTCAGGCCATCCTGGTCAAAAACCGAAGTGTTTGAGACCCAACTCAACAGAAAAAGCCGGTGTGGTGGAACATGCCTGCCACCCAGCTACGTGAGAAGCACAGATGCAGAAAGGGTCAAGGTCTAGGTTGGCCTGGGCAAATGTGAGACCTTATCTCGAAAAGCTGAGCAAAACATGCAGGCGTGGCTCAAGCAGAAGAGCTCCTGCCCAGCAAGTGTTCAAGAAAATAAAATAGCTTGCGGATGGTACCTCCAAATGGACTCATTTGTTCACTAATTTGATCGATTAAAAATATCTCAAGCAGTTTGGGGTCAGGGAAGAAAAAAGAGAGAGGGGAGAGAAACAGGAGCGGGGAGGAGGAAGGGGAGAAGAGAGAGGCTGAAAAGATCGTCAGGGAAGTGAGGCACTAACAAGAAAATACGACCAGACTCGGGGTTCCCAGGGGGTCCCTGGCGCTCTGCTTTTCATTCTGGAACCCTTCGTATGGCATGTATGGCTCTCTGATTGGGGGATGGGAAGGGAATCAAAGGACAAAGGGTGAACCAATGCGGTGGCCATACCCACCAGACACTGCGCTGGAAAGGAACTTTACAACCTGGGGGAGAGGCGGGGAGGGGGAGAGCAGGAGGGAGAAAGGATGTTTGAGAAGAAATGTACTCATTTCCTTACTTATGTAACTGTAACCTCTCTGTACATCATCTTTACAATACTACTACTACTACTACTAGAATCAGAGTGTGACCTAAACAAACAGATTGGGAAGGCTGTCTAATTTTGAGGTATCTAACTTTAATCTCTGATCAGCAAAGAAACGCACAAGGTCTTAAGACTCACCCTTTTGTGCTGTATAAAGATGTCTGTCTGTGGCCGCTGGCAAACGAGTGTGGAATCCTCATTACTTGGGAGGCTGAGAGCTAAGAGGCCCAGAGACAACGGAAGCAGACAAGTCTGAGAGACTCACCTCCAGTGAAACTGCGAGAGTTGGAGGTGGAGGTGCGGCTCAACAGTTAGAGCACCAGCAGCGTGGGAAAAGCCCCGCAAGAGCTCAAGACGCTGAGTTCAAACCCCAGTACTGGCATGGACAGGTGCACGCGCTTGCGTGTAGACACACACACATGTACATACACACGTGTACACACACAGGTACACCGCCTCCCACCACGTGTGCATGACCAAAGCCAAATACAGCAGGAGCTCAATGAATTGCATTATTTAAATCAGAATCTTTCTTCTGCAGGTACAACCAACAATTCTGGAAATCCCAGATGATCTGAAACTGTCTTTTGAGAAACTTATGTGTCATAGGTGAGCCAACGATTTAAATCGACTTTAATTCTAGCTGTACTTAGTTACAGGCATGGAGTCCCGAATTGAGAAGCAGCAGAAGTAGTAGGTTTCAGGAATGGAATTTTTGGCTGGCTTTATTTTCTCTGACAAAAATTGTTTCTTTTTTTTTTTCTGTCTGAATGATTACTGAAACAACTGTGGAATGTGTGAGATTACTTCCCACTTGGTTCTCACGGAGAGAATAAAGAATAAGATTTCTTTGAACAGCCAGGGAGCTAAGGTGAACAGTTATAAGAATCCCAGCTTCTCGGGAGGTGGAGGTAGGAGGATTATGGTTCAAGGTCAGCCTAGGCAAAATGATCAGGAATTGCCATTGCAAAACCACGTTAAAAACCAAGGGGGCAGGGGGCGGGGTGAGCAGAAGGACTAGCACGCACCCCCGCAGGCACCTAGCAAGGAAAGGAGGGAGGGGGGAAAAGGAAGGAAGGAAGGAAGAGAATGGAGGGAGGGAGGGAAGGGGGGGAGAGAGGAGAGGAAGGGAGGGAGGGGAGGAGGGAGAGAACAGAGAGGGAGGAAGGAAGGAAGGAAGGGAGGAAGGAAGGAAGGGAGGGAGGGAGGGAAGCTGGCTGCTGGCTAGTTGGTCATTCCTTAAGCAGAACTAAATATACCTCTCTGTGTAGGTGAAATGTGTAATTCACAAATATAAGCCCTCACACACAGTGTTCCCTGACTCTAGGACAAGCTCTTTTTGTAGCAAAAATTCTGACCAATTCTGTTGTCACTGCAAATGAAATCCTTTCATAATTCTCATTCACTGGTTCTCCAAAGGTGAGGAACCCCCCCCCCCATGTAACTGTCAGAAAGAGGAGAACTCCATTTTGTGTTATCTTGAAAACTGCAGCTGAGGATGCGTCTAGTGGCGGAGGGTTTACCTAGCGTGCCAGAAGCTTGATTCCTAGCCTGGAGAAAAGGAAGGGAAGAGCCAGGGCTAGGAGGGAGGGGGGAGGGAGGAGGGACCGAGGGAGTGGGAATAAAGGAGAGAAGGAGGGAGGAAGGAAAAGGAAAAGGAAAAAAAGAGAAATCACCAGAGAAAAAACCAGAACTCCGCACATGGGATCCCTTTCCCTGCTTGTAGTAGATGTCTGGAATCTGAGTAGTCACAGTTCACAGAAGTTCACTTTTCTGTTAAGACGTTTGAAGTGCATTGCTGTGTTTTACTTATATTGCAAGTTAGATACTTTAAGTACAATTCCAACCCCCAAATCATTTATTGGTTTTATTTAAAAACAAATAGCACCTCATTCCTTTTAAAACTATAATCAAACAGGGTGCCAATGGCTTACACCTGCAATCCTAGCTACTCAAGAGAGCAGGGTGTAGAGGGCCAGGAAAGGTGGAGCGGCAGAAAAGTCTAGGAGACTCCATTTCCAAAACTAACCAGCAAAAATTCAGGCTGAAGGCATGGTTCAGTTAGGATAGTGCCAACTAAGCAAGCATGAGGCCCTGAGTTCAAACAACAGCAACCCATCCCCCACCCCCCAAAAAACCACCTAAAATTGGTATCAACCAACCAGAAATATTATTACATTGGTTTTCTATTTGGGGGATTTTTTTTCAGTGTAACAAAGGAAAATGAACCGTCTCTGTTTGACATTTAGCTGGAATGACTCTCAGGTAAAGGCCTGGTCCTATCTGTGGCTTATAATATTTGTGCTTCATAGATTTGTATTTATTTTTTGTGCCAATCATAGGGCTCGAACTCAGGGCCTGGGTGGCATCCATGAGCTTATTTTGCTCAAGGCTAGTACTTTGCCACTTGAGCCACTGTTCTACTCCCAGAGTTTCGATGCTTAATTGGAGATAAACATCTCACAGGTTTTCCTCCTTGGGCTGGCTTTGAACCATGATCCTCAGATCTTGCACACACAAGTTTATAAGTCTTATTACACATGAAGAAAAAAGGGAGAGAGAAAAGGCACAGATGCATATCTGTAGAACAGACAGACCTTAAACCACATAGTCCCTAAGTACCACCTGCCTCCTTGCCAAACACGGATAATGGAGAGGTTGGGCCATATTTTGGTAGCCATAGAGATCTTTGTGAAAGGAACAATTAGCTTCAATCCCTTGGTAGCCTATTACATTTCCCCCATTTGTCAGCCTTAAGAAAAGCAAACAATTTAGACCAATCCAGAAATGGCTAGGGGTCATACGGATTTTGAGTGAGCACTCCTGCAGTTTTGCATCAGGAGAAATAGAATGTGGTCAGGAATTTCCTAACTAAAACTTCTTCTCAAGTTTTCTTTAGTGCAGGAGTTTGCAGTTAAGGGCTTGCACTTGCTAAGTGTGTGCTCTACCAGTCCATCCCCCCGGCCGGGCTTTAGTTCATTTTTCAAACAGGGTTTCCGTCCTTCTGTGCACACTGGCTTTGTAGCTGGGATGCCAGCCCTGTGCGACCAGCTGGTAATTGTTGAGAAGGAGTCTCATAATCCTCCCCAGGAGCTAGGATTACACACATGAGCTGCCACACCAGTTCCCTTTTGTTTTTTAAGGGTAGATGACTATTTGGAAGAATTCTATCACTTTTTTCCTCTACTAATTGAAGGAACTTTCTCTAATCTTCCTTATTTTCATGTCATACGAGTCTTGCCAGTAGAATAGTTTAAAAATGGAAGGTTTGCAGGCACCAGTGACCTGAGGTTGCAATCGGGGGGGAACGTGGTTTGCAGCCAGCCCAGGTAGATAAGGCCATGAGTTAACTACCAAAAAGCTGGAAGTGGAGCTGTGGCTCAAGTGGTATAGCCGAGCCTTGAACAAAAACTCTCAGGAATAGCACCTAGGTCCTGAATGCAAGCTCTTGCAGTGGCACGCGCACATGCGATCACACACACACACACACACACACACGTTTATCAAAACCCATAAAAGTATCACTGATTGAACCAGTCATCCTAACCAACTGCAAAGTGGCCTGATCACAGGTTAGCAGATACTGTGTACTTAAAATGCATAGACAGACCTTTTCGCCAGATGCTAGCATTCGACAAATGTGTGTTCTTGCTTCTTCCAATCAGAGCGATGAATCCTCATCAATCCAAAACCCCGGAGTCTGAGTCTTCCCAAAACGACATCTCCACAGGTGTGTCTTCCTTCAGCGTCCTTGCGCTTTGAGCTACGCCGGCCGCGGCCCTGAGCTGGAAGCTTCGTCCCTAGGTTCTTTCGAATGCATTTCCAGTGCAACTTTGGTGTGTGTGGAGTGAGCCGCGGCCCCCCTCTCACCCCAACCCAGTCTGTTCCCATGCTGGGCCCCAGTTACCTTATCTAGCTTGCGTTTCCCCCACACCACACAATTCGAACCAATGTATAGTTGCTGAAGCCCTTCCGTGGTGATTGGAGTGCCGGCTGCATGAGAAGCCTTCCACAGGCAGCCCGAGGGTCCGAGAGGAAGAGAACCCTCTCCCAGGCTCCTAGAAAGCCTTCCTCCCGAAGGCCTTCGTCCTTTTACTCTCTGTATTCCCTAAAATACGTCTTCTTCCAGAAGCTTCTCAATACCATTCTCGCCTCACTTACTGGCAGTCTAGTATGGACAAGGACGCACCTCTGTCCCAGACCCTCGCATTGGATTCATTTCCATCCCTCAAAGAATCTGGCTGTGGGCTGGTGAGGTCGAAGCTGGCGATTCTTCGGGGTGGTATAACTCGTGTTTAGGAAAGTGCCGTTCCTAGCTCCTCATTTGCTCTAAGCTCACTGAATCCACCTGAAGTTTTTCTTTCATTAGATAGAGGCAATTTGTTTTTTTTAAATATCTAGATCATCAAGATCATTTGATACAAATAAAAAAGCGTAAGTTCTGTCTTGGAAAATGGTAGGAGATGCAGAGCTAGCATCAAACAGAGAATGCCATGTAGAAAGGGAATTTGAAGCTTACCTTGAAGGCAGACTGGAGGACCAGACACTCACGGACTCAAGGAACAGCGCGGTGTGGTGGAGACACCTGGGCTGGTGGAGTGCAGGGCCGCCAGCCCCTGCGCACCTCCTCTTCCGTATCCAAAACAGTGGATTCGTTCTTATTACCTGGAATACAGAACTAAGAGTGCCCCTCTCCATGCACGCTCTCACTGTTCCCTGGCCACGACCTCAGTCTCTCAAGGCCAGAAGGACACTAGATAACGCACATTTATTTCCTGACTCTAAAGGACAATGCAATAAGATGCTTTCCGCTAGTTTACTAGCCCGGGGAGTGGACAGCACTCCAGGCAGCAGTGTAAGGAGCAGACCTGAGCTAGGGCGGGCATGCTGTTCTTGCACAGACCCGGCCACCGAGTCCCGTGGGGAGAGGAGGCTGCAGAGGCAGGCCAGCGCTGAGGGGTGGGTCTACCGTTGCTTCCAGCCGGGACCTTCCCAAGCTCGGCTTTGCCTGGAAGGTCTAGTGAGCGGATCCTCCTTGCTGTGGTGGTTTTCTCATCCATGTTTCTACTCATAAAGCCAGAACGGCATCTTGTCCTACTTTGAGGGAGACCTGCAACACCACCTACCTTTGACTGACCCAGAAAACTGCTGGGCCGGCCCCAGGCCGCTGCTGTCTGCCACTTAAGCATGTTGGCACGCCAGTACTTGTTGCTTACTGCCAGCACACCGCCCAACCGTGCTGGGGTGCCTATGGCTTTGTTACAAATACTAAGTGGCTGGCTCACCCCAGTGATCGTCAGACTCACGATCATTTCCAGAAGGTTCCTGAATTCAGCCAAACCTTATCAATGACCGTAATTCCTAACAGCAAAATCACTGGAAATAACCCACCCCTGTATGTGGTGGAGATGCTTCCAGTTCACTTTGCTCGGCCTTGGCCGGAGGCCCTGCTGTGTGCATGCTCACACCTCCATAAACGTTGGTGCTGATGTCAGCTACTGCGTGGTGCATGCACCTGTCATGCTGGTCCCAAGTTAGGATTACCATCTGGACGCTGTCTCCGTCCCTTTGTTCCATACCCTGCATCAAGTTTCCTTTTCGTTTTAGTGACGAAATGGAACTGGATCCTAGATGTTTGAACTGTGGCTCGGATGGGAGTCAGGGCCCTCCCCCTTGGTCTCTCGGGGATGGCGGTGGGAAGGTGCTATTCCCACATTGATTTACTCCCTCCCAGCAAGGAGGCCTGCAGAAGAAGTTCAGCTGAATCAAACGTTCATACATTAAATCAGATTTAAAGGAGAGGTCAGGGCAGTTTGGATTTTAAAGAGCTCTAAAAGAAATAATTCACAACATAAAGGGTTTTTTTGTTTAATGAGATACAAATACTTCCTCTCCCGGCCATGGTTTACATAGTTTGCCTTTGATTCAGAGGACAGACCTGCGCGTGTGTTCCTGAATGAGAATGGAATCCTCTCTCCGCTTGTGGCCAGCATGGCAGCCCCATGTGTGCTCTCTCCATTTTTAGGTTAATTTGCAGAGCCTCTCACCACAGGGGTTTATTTCTAGGGACTTTTTGGGGGGTCTCTGAGGCTTAAACATTCATGGTTGCTAAGGTGGATTGTTGATAAGACAGTTTGAAAGAATCCTTATAAGAATTTTGAACCTTTTTTATAAAATGGAAGACGTCTGTGCTGGTCCTTGGTGGGTTTGAGTTTCTGGAAAGGTCTGTGCTGGCCCTTGGTGGGTTTGAGTTTCTGGAAAGGTCTGTGCTGGCCCTTGGTGGGTTTGAGTTTCTAGAAGACGTCTGTGCTGGCTCTTGGTGGGTTTGAGTTTCTGGAAGGGTCTGTGCTGGCCCTTGGTGGGTTTGAGTTTCTGGGAAGGTCTGTGCGGGCCCTGGGTGGGGTTGAGTTTCTGGGAAGGTCTGTGCGGGCCCTGGGTGGGGTTGAGTTTCTGGAAGGGTCTGTGCGGGCCCTTGGTGGGGTTGAGTTTCTGGAAGGGTCTGTGCTGGCCCTTGGTGGGGTTGAGTTTCTGGAAGGGTCTGTGCTGGCCCTTGGTGGGGTTGAGTTTCTGGGAAGGTCTGTGCGGGCCCTGGGTGGGGTTGAGTTTCTGGAAGCCCTTGGTGGGGTTGAGTTTCTGGAAGGGTCTGTGCTGGCCCTTGGTGGGGTTGAGTTTCTGGAAGGGTCTGTGCTGGCCCTTGGTGGGGTTGAATTTCTGGAAGGGTCTATGCTGGCCCTTGGTGGGTTTGAGTTTCTGGAAGGGTCTGTGCTGGCCCTTGGTGGGTTTGAGTTTCTGGAAGGGTCTGTGCTGGCCCTTGGTGGGGTTGAGTTTCTGGGAAGGTCTGTGCTGGCCCTTGGTGGGTTTGAGTTTCTGGGAAGGTCTGTGCTGGCCCTTGGTGGGTTTGAGTTTCTGGGAAGGTCTGTGCTGGCCCTTGGTGGGGTTGAATTTCTGGGAAGGTCTGTGCTGGCCTTGGTGGG